TTCAACTAATTCAGTTTTTGTAGGTTGATTTCCAAGATTTTTCAAGTTGTTATTTTTCACTGGAAAAATTTGAAATTCTGGGAAAATGAGCTTCTCATCTTCTTGCAAAAAGTTTTGAAATTTTCTCTTCTCTAGTTTTCCAGGAAAACTTTGAAATATATGAGACAAGACTGTATTTTCAAATAATTCAGTTATTGTAGGTTGATTTCAAGATTCCTCATGTTGTAATTTTCTACTGGAAAAATTTGAAATTCTGGGAAAATGAGCTTCTCACCTTTCTCTTTACATGCAAAAAGTTTCAAAATTTTCCCTTCACTTACTAGTTTTCCAGGAAAACTTTGAAATGTGTGAGACTGTATTCTCAACTAATTCAGTTTTTGTAGGTTGATTTCCAAGATTTTTCAAATTGTTATTTTTCACTGGAAAAATTTGAAATTTTGGGAAAATGAGCTTCTCATCTTATTCTTTACATGCAAAAAGTTTTAAAATTTTCTCTTCTCTAGTTTTCCAGGAAAACTTTGAAATGTGTGACTTGTGCGAGACTGTATTTTCAACTAATTCAGTTTTTATTTTATTTATTGTTTAATACACAACAGAGCAAACTCCAAATGGTATATTTATATCTATAACAAACTTTTTCGAAAAATAAAATAAAATAAAACTGTGCTATACATATGATCACAACAATTAATACAAGGCAAATACAAATAAAAGTAAATAAACACAATACAATAGGTACATACATATGGCACCCTTCCCTTAATTACTTCCCTAACTTCCTCTCAAATCATATATCGGCGCTGTAACTCATTTTCACAGAGAGTCAAGATCCATACTGCCGTATTTGAAGTCACGGAAATGCCTCCGATCTATGGTCGTTAAAGGTTTGCTAATATTGATTTCAGTTGATTTTTGAATGTAATTGGGGTGCAATTGAATTCAAAGTTCGCAGGAATATGCGTGTTGAAGAGATGCATGATGCGATATGACACTATTTTTACCAACATCAGTCCGGCTTCTGTTGGTTGAAAACGTACCACTTAAACGCGTATCGCGTGAAGGTACACGAATGTTTATAAGTGCCAAAAGTTCCGGACAGTTCACATTATTGGTTAGTATTTTGAACCCGAACATGATTGTCAGAAATGTCCTACGCATCTCCAAGCTATCGATATTTAGTAGTTGTAAACGATCTTGGTGTGAAAACTGACTTTTGTCAATTCCAAGTTTGTATAACAGGAAGTTGACAAATTTCCCTTGAACACGTTCAATGCGCTTAATATGGGTTTGGTAACATGGCGACCAAACTATGCAGCAATACTCGAGGTGACTTCGCACCAATGAAAAATACAGAGACTTCAGCACCTCGATGTTAGAAAACTCCCAACATCTACGCATTATAAAGTCTGCCATTTTGAACGCTTAAAATCTTAACTTAGTGTCAAAAACTATTCCCAAATCGTTAATTAGATCTACTCTTGGCAGAATGGAACGTGCAATAAAGTAGGAGTGCAGGATGGGCACTTTTTTTCGAAAAAACGATATTATCTTGCATTGGGGGTACACCAGATGTAACTGCAATTTCTTTAGATACAGCTCCCCTAATCCTAACGAGCTGTGTTCGGTTTTGGAGGTAACTTGCAACCCAAGATAAAAGAGGGCCTGTGACGCCAAATGACTCTAGTTTATTGAGGAGCATAACATGATCTACTCTGTCGAAGGCCTTCTTAAAATCAAAACAGATCGAATCAACCTGACCCCCAGAGTCGATAGAGGTAGACAAATAATGGGAATAAACACCTAAGTTCGTCTGGCATGAACGCCCTGGCAGGAAGCCATGCTGGTGTTCTGAAAGACTGTTGTAAAGATTTGGCAGAAGCTCGTCAACGACAATAGATTCCAGGACCTTGGACATACAATCAAGGCCAGATATGGGGCGATAGTTGGATATGTCTCCCCTGACACCCCCCTTAAATATTGCAGTTACATAGGCAGATTTCCAGAGGTTCGGGAACTGACCCGAATCGAGAGATAGCCGATACAGGTAACTAAGTGGAGACGTTAAAGTTGGACAGCAGTTCTTCACAAAAATTGGAGGAATATCATCTGGTCCTGCTCCTTTTCTCTCGTCGAGTCCGATAAGTTTCTGAAGTACAATATCACTGTTAATCTCTATGTTAGAAAGGACCATATTGTTGATAGAACATGGAAATGGGTTTTTAGTGACTGTAGGGTCGGGTACAGTAAATACAGACTGGAAGAAATCTGCAAAAAAATCTGCGATGATCTTGACATCGCTTGAATGTACATTGTTAAAACTCATTTTCACAGGATAGCCAGCTGTGCTGCGTTGAGTTTTTATGTAAGACCAGAATGCTTTAGTGTTGTTCAAGATATTATTTTGTACAGTCTGAACGAAAACATCATAGTCTCTCTTAATGGAAGCCTTTGATTGTGACCTAAGTATTTTGTACTGACACTCATTATAAGTTAATCTAGTGTGTTTATATTTCTTAAAGGCTTTGTTTTTCTTATTAATCAAAGCAATCGTTCCTCTTGAAAAATAATTAGGATATTTTAAAGTTGAGACTCTAGTTTTTGGAACATGTAGGTCAATTGCAATGTATAAGACTGTATAAAACATTTCAAGGGCACTATTGATATTATTACAATACAAAAAGCTCCAATCAATAGATTCAAAGTAATCATTCAACAGGTCGTAGTCAGCTTTATGAAAATTATACTTGAAGAGTTGCAGATCCGATACATTATCTCCCACTGTGTCAACAAAAAGATCAATCAACAAAGCAGGGTGATGGCTATCAACGTTAGTTAGAGGTGACATGTTATTTGATATAGACATGTTGTGGTAGTTTGAAAAAACTAAATCCAATTTAACATTATTGGCGTTAGAAATATTATTATACTGAGTAAGGTCGTAAAAACATGTACAGTCGAAAAGTATTTGTTCACACTCATTGTTCGAAGTAAATATCTTATCAAAGTCACAGTCACTGTTAGTAGAAAGCAAGTTGAGGCAAATATTATTATCTACATCCACTTTATCACAAGTTTTAACTTGAACAAACGAGGTCTCGTAGCTAGGCAAATTAAAGTCTCCCAATAGCAAAACCTTAGTCGACGGAAAATGGTCAAGAACATAACTCACGGAAGTTACAAGGTCTTCATAAACCGCGGCTTTGGAGGATGGTGGTACATAGAGTGCTGCCACAATGTAGTTGTCATTTCCAAATTGTATACTGACCCAGATTTGTTCAACTTCGTTATCAGGAACTGTACAAATTAATGATTCGAAAGAGCATTCCACTGCGATGAGAACACCACCGCCTCTTGATTTATTTGTTTGATCTGGCTCTCTATCCCTTCTATATACCATGTAGTTTGGAGGGAATAATTCTTCATCGGTGATTCCCTCGTTCAGCCATGTCTTTGTCTGCACAATAACATCATAATCACAGTTTAGTACTTCCTGCTGAAATGGCACCGTTTTGGTTGTCAGTCCACGAACATTCTGGTATGAAATTGTGATGTTTCTATTTTGTGAATTTGCCGTTTCAAGAATATTCGTTTCAATGGTCAAGGTGTTTAGATCTAATGTTGTGTTGCCTAAGGCTGAGTGGGAAGGTGATTGCCTGGTGGAAAATTTTGCATGTTGTTATATTCTTGGTCAATTACTTGATTACAGATGAATCTGGACAGCCTTCTCTTGATGTCGGTTGATTTCCAAGATTTTTCATGTTGCTGTTTTCCACTGGAAAAATTTGAAATTTTGGGAAAATGAACTTCTCACCTTCCTCTTTACATGCAAAAAATTTCAAAATTTTTCCTTTACTAGTTTTCCAGGAAAACTTTGAAATGTGTGAGACCGAGCGTGAGACTGTATTTTCAACTAATTCAGTTTTTGTAGGTTGATTTTTTTTCGCTGGAAAAGTTTGAAACTTTGGGAAAATGAGCTTCTTACCTTCCTCTTCACATGCAAAAAGTTTCAAAATTTGCTCTCCACTAGTTATCCAGGAAAACTTTGAAATATGTGACACGAGACTGTATTTTCAATTAATTCAGTAATTGTAGGTTGATTTTCAAGATGCCTCATGAAGTAATTTTCTACTGGAAAAATTTGAAACTTTGGGAAAATGAGCTTCTCACCTTGCTCTTTACATGCAAAAAGTTTCAAAATTTTCCCTCTACTAGTTTTCCAGAAAAACTTTGAAATGTGTGATACTGTATTTTCAACTAATTTAGTTTTTGTAGGTTGATTTCCAACATTTTTCATGTTGCTGTATTCTACTGGAATAATTTGAAATTTTTGGAAAATGAGCTCTTCACCTTCCTCTTTACATACAAAAAGTTTCAAAATTTTCCCCTTTTTTAGAGGAATTTGTGGGGTACTTGGAGAAGTTCGTGGTGTGGTATTTGCAGGAATTTGTTATAGGATATCTGGGGGAATTTGTAGGAATTTTGAGGAATTATGCGTAAAAAATTCTCCTTTGAGGAATTGTTTGTACCAATTTTGGGATGGTGGTTTACCCCTTGATAATAATGGTGGGTTTTTGTGTCAAAAACTCACTGGTTCAATGAAATGGGTTTTTGTGTATGCTAACTCTGACAAAAACCCAAAAGAAATTTTCAAAAATCTGGATTTTTGCCAACCCGAATTTCCAAAAAACCTCCCAAGATTTCCCTGTAGAGTTTTGGATATCTCCTGCAGGATATCCTATTTTGAATAACCCTTCAAAGAAATCAAAGAATGGTTTTTTAATAATTTGACGACCCAATAATATTGCTCAGAGTTGTTAATACCATTAACGGCAAATTCACATTCAACATTGACATATTCCCTCAGTTGTTGGTTATCTTTGGGTACAAGCCTGTGATTAATTAGAAGATGACTTTTTTCATTCAAATGAAATTGTGAAAATCTAGAAACTTTTTAGTTCAATATCTGTCAAAAAAAAATTAATACTAACATTATTTATTAGGTGACGATACTGACCCAATGGTGACTGTAATGAAACTCGAAAAAGCACCGCAAGAAACCTACGCAGATATTGGCGGTCTGGATACTCAAATTCAAGAAATCAAAGAATCAGTCGAGCTCCCTTTGACTCATCCCGAATATTACGAGGAAATGGGCATTAAACCACCAAAAGGGGTAATCCTTTACGGCCCACCTGGAACAGGCAAAACTCTTCTAGCCAAAGCAGTTGCCAATCAAACTTCTGCCACCTTTTTAAGAGTTGTCGGTTCTGAGTTGATCCAGAAATATTTAGGTGATGGTCCCAAGCTAGTGCGAGAATTGTTTAGAGTTGCTGAAGAACACGCACCTTCTATAGTATTCATTGATGAAATTGATGCAGTTGGAACAAAACGTTACGATTCAAATTCTGGTGGCGAAAGGGAAATTCAAAGAACCATGTTGGAACTTTTGAATCAGCTTGACGGTTTCGATTCAAGAGGCGATGTCAAGGTGATAATGGCCACAAATCGTATTGAAACTTTGGATCCTGCCTTGATTCGTCCAGGTCGTATCGATAGGAAAATCGAATTTCCTTTGCCAGATGAGAAAACCAAAAGACGCATTTTCAACATTCACACTTCAAGAATGACTTTGGCTGAAGATGTCAATCTGCAAGAACTTATTATGGCTAAAGATGATCTGTCTGGGGCTGATATTAAGGTAAAATAATTTTTGTGGGTGAATATTTTTTTGTAATATTTTGTTTTTAGGCTATTTGTACTGAAGCTGGTCTCATGGCTCTCAGAGAACGCAGAATGAAGGTGATGAATGAGGACTTTAAAAAGTCTAAGGAAAGTGTGTTGTATCGCAAGAAGGAAGGCACCCCTGAGGGACTTTATTTGTAGAACTATATTGATTGATTATAGTCGTTAAATAATTTTTCTTTTTGTAATTTTGTCAATGTACTACAATATATAATGATTAATTGATGGATTATTGTTATTTCGTTTGTGTAGGGTTCAGTGGCGCAACTACAGGGGAGGCTAGGGCGGCCAGCCCCCCCCCCCCAGGCGTTGCTTGGCCCCCCCCAGAAAAAACTTTAACCGGTTTAGCCAGCTAATTGTCTATAATGCACTGTTCTACTTTTTTAGATTCCAATGAGTCAAAATAACTTTGATGGGGGCATTGGGGCAGGTGCTCCCATGAACAACCTCTCATGGGTGCTTGGAGCTCTCGTGGGGAATGCAGAAGTACAAACGTATTCAATGGTCATTTCGTTCCGTGTGGTAGTTTCAGTATCATGTAATTTAAATTTACTCAACTTTGTATAAGAATTATACAAGTGGTATTAGTCTTAGATTAGGGAGGTATTACTATTCTATTTGTTATTTGTGGTCAATTATATGCTAATATGCTCTATTACTTTATATTGCTAATGTTGCTATTCTCCATCTCTATTCTTTGATAATAATCGGGACTAAGTCATAAAAGTACCAGGGTAACCTTACATTGCATAATTATTTCACATTTTTTGCACTGGTGCGAAAAAGTGATATTTTCATGGCCTAAAATGCGTGCAGAAAAAGCACTTTTCGCACGCTTGTAAAAAAAAATAGAAAAATATAGGTAATATGTGTTCAAGATAAGGAGGACCATTATGGGGGTCTGATGATATGGTGGCCCAAAGACGAAACGTCGGATTACAAATTTGATAATGCCATATTGTAGAGGAGGAAAAGTGGCAATGACGAAGTGCCATTTATTTTGAAATACCTTTTCAAATAAGGTCAGGAAAAAATAAAATCCTTTTAGGCGAATTTCGGGTTTTCCCGGATATCTTCGGTATCACTAGGAATTTTTTAAAATATTAGAGCGGTACTTTAATGACCACAAAATTGCGCAACTTTTTCTCGATTTGAGCAACGTCGTATCTTTCACTGTTTCCGAGATTCCTATACTGGCCCTACTTATCTTGGACACATTTTATACATACACTATAAAATAGACGTTTTTAGGCGTGGCATCCAGAATAGCTATTTACCTAACAAGTGCGGAAAATGAATTTTTCCGCACGCGGCTGCCGTTCACCGAACGACGCGTAGCGGAGTTCAGTGAAGCTGTCTAGTTTCCGCAAAAAATGTTTCGCTTCCGCCGGCGCCTACGGCGAGCTTCCCCTTCCCCATCCCCCACCCCCTATAAACAAATTTTTAAAAATGTTAGGCTTGTTCGCACAGCAATCACAAACCAGTCAGAGCAAATTTCATTGGTTGAAAACAATTAGAAACAGTCAGAAAAATATTTTCAACCAATGAGATTCACTCTGACTGGTTTGTGATTGTTCTGCGAACAGGCCTATATTATTCTGCACTTATGAGGTGCCTCTGCCAGGCCCACCCTAGGCCCCCCCCAGTTCAGATGGCTGGTTATACCAGTGGTAGGTACGGTAGGGTTGGCAAAAATCTGGATTTTTGAAAATTTTCATTGGGGTTTTGGGTTCTTGTGTTCACTCTAGACAAAATTTTATATTTGTTTCAACAGTTTTGCTCCTGAGAAGCTTCATAATTTAAATTATCGAACATTTAAAATTATCCAAAAATGACACCGAGACAGTTTCTGGTGTCAATTCTCTTCCAGATTTCCATGTAATTAGGGTATTATTGAAATGAATTAAATTCTATACAAACCTATTAATCAACACTTTAATTTGGTTTCAACAGTTTTACACCTAAGAAGCTTTAAAATTGAAATGATCAAACATTAAAAATTTTCCAAAAATGACACTGAGGCAGTTTTTGGCTCACAGGTCTTTTAATTTTCATCCGATTTCAACGCAATTAGGCTCTAATTTAAGCCAATTAAATTCTCTACAAACCTATACATTAAAATTTTAATTTGGTTTCAACAGTTATTTGCACCTGAGTACCTGAGTAGCTTCAAAATTGAAATTATCGTGTAGTGTAAATTTTTCAAAAATGACACTGATACAGTTTTTGGCTCACAACTCCCTTAATTTTCATCCGATTTTAACGCAATTAGGCTCTAATTTAAGCCAATTAAATTCTCTACAAACGTATTAATTGGGGTTTCAATTTGGTTTCAACAGTTTTACACCTGACCTGAGAAGCTTCATGAATCATGATTGAAATTATCAAAAATTAAAAATTTTCCAAAAATGACACTGAGGCAGTTTTTGGCTCACAGGTCTTTTAATTTTCATCCGATTTCAACGCAATTAGGCTCTAATTTAAGCCAATTAAATTCTCTACAAACCTATACATTAAAATTTTAATTTGGTTTCAACAGTTATTTGCACCTGAGTAGCTTCAAAATTGAAATTATCGTGTAGTGTAAATTTTCCAAAAATGACACTGAGACAGTTTTTGGCTCACAACTCCCTTAATTTCCATCCGATTTCAACGCAATCTGGCTCTAATTAAAGCCAATTAAATTCTCTACAAACGTGTTAATTAGGGTTTCAATTTGGTTTCAACAGTTTTACACCTGACCTGAGAAGCTTCATGAACCATGATTGAAATTATCAAACATTAAAAATTATCCAAAAATGACACTGAGGCAGTTTTTGGCTCACAGGTCTTTTAATTTTCATCCGATTTCAACGCAATTAGGCTCTAATTTAAGCCAATTAAATTCTCTACAAACCTATACATTAAAATTTTAATTTGGTTTCAACAGTTATTTGCACCTGAGTAGCTTCAAAATTGAAATTATAGTGTAGTGTAAATTTTCCAAAAATGACACTGAGACAGTTTTTGGCTCACAACTCCCTTAATTTCCATCCGATTTCAACGCAATTAAGCTCTAATTAAAGCCAATTAAATTCTCTACAAACGTGTTAATTAGGGTTTCAATTTGGTTTCAACAGTTTTACACCTGAGCTGAGAAGCTTCATGAATCATGATTGAAATTATCAAACATTAAAAATTTTCCAAAAATGACACTGAGGCAGTTTTTGGCTCACAGGTCTTTTAATTTTCATCCGATTTCAACGCAATTAGGCTCTAATTTAAGCCAATTAAATTCTCTACAAACCTATACATTAAAATTTTAATTTAGTTTCAACAGTTATTTGCACCTGAGTAGCTTCAAAATTGAAATTATCGTGTAGTGTAAATTTTTCAAAAATGACACTGAGACAGTTTTTGGCTCACAACTCCCTTAATTTCCATCCGATTTCATCGCAATTAGGCTCTAATTTAAGCCAATTAAATTCTCTACAAACGTATTAATTGGGGTTTCAATTTGGTTTCAACAGTTTTACACCTGACCTGAGAAGCTTCATGAATCATGATTGAAATTATCAAAAATTAAAAATTTTCCAAAAATGACACTGAGGCAGTTTTTGGCTCACAGGTTCTTTAATTTTCATCCGATTTCAACGCAATTAGGCCAATTAAATTCTTACAAACCTATAAATTGAGATTTTAATTTGGTTTCAACAGTTTTGCACCTGAGTAGCTTCAAAATTGAAATTATCGTGTAGTGTAAATTTTCCAAAAATGACACTGATACAGTTTTTGGCTCACAACTCCCTTAATTTTCATCCGATTTTAACGCAATTAGGCTCTAATTTAAGCCAATTAAATTCTCTACGAACGCATTAATTAGGGTTTCAATTTGGTTTCAACAGTTTTACCCCTGAGAAGCTTCATGATTGAAATTATTATCAAACATTAAAAATTATCCAAAAATGACACTAAGACAGTTTTTGGCTCACAACTCCCTTAATTTTCATCCGATTTCAACGCAATTAAGCTCTAATTTAAGCCAGTTAAATTCTCTACAAACCTATACATTAAAATTTTAATTTGGTTTCAACAGTTATTTGCACCTGAGTAGCTTCAAAATTGAAATTATCGTGTAGTGTAAATTTTCCAAAAATGACACTGAGACAGTTTTTGGCTCACAACTCCCTTAATTTCCATCCGATTTTAACGCAATCAGGCTCTAATTAAAGCCAATTAAATTCTCTACGAACGCATTAATTAGGGTTTCAATTTGGTTTCAACAGTTTTAACCCCTGAGAAGCTTCATGATTGAAATTATTATCAAACATTAAAAATTATCCAAAAATGACACTAAGACAGTTTTTGGCTCACAACTCCCTTAATTTTCATCCGATTTTAACGCAATCAGGCTCTAATTAAAGCCAATTAAATTCTCTACGAACGCATTAATTAGGGTTTCAATTTGGTTTCAACAGTTTTACCCCTGAGAAGCTTCATGATTGAAATTATTATCAAACATTAAAAATTATCCAAAAATGACACTGAGACAGTTTTTGGCTCACAACTCCCTTAATTTTCATCCGATTTCAACGCAATTAAGCTCTAATTAAAGCCAATTAAATTCTCTACCAACCTATAAATTAAGATTTTAATTTGGTTTCAACAGTTTTGCACCTGAGTAGCTTCAAAATTGAAATTATCGTGTGGTTTAAATTTTCCAAAAATGACACTGAGAGAGTTTTTGGCTCACAACTCCCTTAATATCCATCCGATTTCAATGCAATCAGGCTCTAATTAAAGCCAATTAAATTCTCTACAAACGTGTTAATTAGGGTTTCAATTTGGTTTCAACAGTTTTACACCTGACCTGAGAAGCTTCATGAACCATGATTGAAATTATCAAAACATTAAAAATTATCCAAAAATGACACTGAGGCAGTTTTTTGGCTCACAGGTCTTTTAATTTTCATCCGATTTCAACGCAATTAGGCTCTAATTCAAGCCAATTAAATTCTCTAACAAACCTATACATTAAAATTTTAATTTGGTTTCAACAGTTATTTGCACCTGAGTAGCTTCAAAATTGAAATTATAGTGTAGTGTAAATTTTTCAAAAATAACACTGAGACAGTTTTTGGCTCACAACTCCCTTAATTTCCATCCGATTTCAACGCAATTAAGCTCTAATTAAAGCCAATTAAATTCTCTACAAACGTGTTAATTAGGGTTTCAATTTGGTTTCAACAGTTTTACACCTGACCTGAGAAGCTTCATGAACCATGATTGAAATTATCAAACATAAAAATTATCCAAAAATGACACTGAGTGCAGTTTTTGGCTCACAGGTCTTTTAATTTTCATCCGATTTTCAACGCAATTAGGCTCTAATTTAAGCCAATTAAATTCTCTACAAACCTATACATTAAAATTTTAATTTAGTTTCAACAGTTATTTGCACCTGAGTAGCTTCAAAATTGAAATTATAGTGTAGTGTAAATTTTTCAAAAATAACACTGAGACAGTTTTTGGCTCACAAACTCCCTTAATTTCCATCCGATTTCAACGCAATTAAGCTCTAATTAAAAACCAATTAAATTCTCTACAAACGTGTTAATTAGGGTTTCAATTTGGTTTCGGCAGTTTTACACCTGACCTGAGAAGCTTCATGAATCATGATTGAAATTATCAAACATTAAAAATTTTCCAAAAATGACACTGAGGCAGTTTTTGGCTCACAGGTTCTTTAATTTTCATCCAATTTCAACGCAATAAGGCCAATTAAATTCTTACAAACCTATAAATTGAGATTTTAATTTGGTTTCAACAGTTTTGCTCCTGAGTAGCTTCAAAATTGAAATTATCGTGTGGTTTAGATTTTCCAAAAATGACACTGAGAGAGTTTTTGGCTCACAACTCCCTTAATATCCATCCGATTTCAATGCAATCAGGCTCTAATTAAAGCCAATTAAATTCTCTACAAACCCATAAATTAAGATTTTAATTTGGTTTCAACAGTTTTGCACCTGAGTAGCTTCAAAATTGAAATTATTATGTAGTGTAAATTTTCCAAAAATCACTGAGACAGTTTTTGGCTCACAGCTCCTTTAATTTATATCCGATTTCACTTGAGTACCTTACCTTTATCTCGTAAAATTCGGATCAACTCAAACCAAACCTTATTCAAAACTGATTCAAACTGTTCAAAAAAGCAAAATTATCCCACACTATACCTATCTCTCTCTTACATCGCCCTTTAAATTGTTAGAACTCTTCAATTACAATCCACTATATAAGTACAATGTCTATCTTTCTTTTTCACCAACTTAAAAAGAGATAGAACCAGACACGAGTAACTGAACAGCTGGTTGCTTGTCAATCTGCCGCCAAAGTTGACATTGCCGGCCGTTGATTTTTCATATTCAATTTTGCACGTGTGAGAAGAAAATGAATTTTAGAGCTCCTTATTATAAAGAAAATTAATTGATTTTTAGTAGTGATTTTTTGTTTTATGTTCAGGTAATACACAGAACAAATTTTACTTGTAATTTTATATTGGTAACTTGTAATTTGTTTGATAAAAAAGGATTTTTGCAGAGAGGCCCCATAGTTTCTGTTTTTTTCTTATTTGGGATTTTTGCTACAAGACAAAAAACTCATTAATAAATCCTGAGGAGATAAAGGATCGTTTAAGTTTATTGTCAGAAAAAAAAATGCATTTTATCATTGTACACCTATTTTCAATGTCCTTGTTATTTAGAATATCTTTATACTTTATTATACATACTGAATTCAACTTTTTATATTGTTCATTTAGGATGCTTTTTACCTGGGAAATAGGAGAATCTATTTCTAATTTTTTCCATCTAGTAGGTGATCTACTTCCAACAAATACCTAATTATTCAAAAATGTATGCCTTACAGTACAGCAAAAAGTAACTTATTTTTTCTACCTTAAAAACCGTAACAATTTATTACATATCTTCCCTTTTATTAGTGAATTATTAGTAAGCAATGCCACGAAAATCTACAGTGGAAGAATTAACCGAACAACCTGCTGCAGTAGGCTCACCAGTGAGAAGATCCACCCGTTTGATTAGCGGCAATGGAAATGGAACTCCAGGAAGGTAAGATTTTTGTTCGATTCTAGGTTAATAATCTACATTTTAACCTAAGAATTTAGAATCAATACTCCTTGGCTTATCCATATATTTCCTAACCCCTAAAAACTAGAGAGGCCGTACAACGCATTTATTTATCATTATGTGCAATTTTGTGTAAATATTATAATAGAATTTCTTAACTGAGATTCAAGGAAAAACAGGGGGTGAGTATTAGTAATGGGGTTCTTTTCTGTATCTTACAAATACTTGTGGTTTGCAGGATTCTGCTTCAAATTTCAAAAGTCTTTGGAACTTTTACTTGGTCTTGTTGAAATGTTATTTATTTTGAAGTACATACAATACAACAGCCAAAGGAATTGCAGATATCTAATCATTTTAATCTTAATTAATTTCCATCGATCAAAATGTCTTCAATTAGGTCTAAGATGTGTAGAAGACAGTTAATGCTTCTTACTTTTGATAATTTCAAAAGCCTTTTCAGACTTTCATTGAATTTCCGAGTGAATTTCTAAATGAAATTTACCCAAATGGCAAATTTAACTCTTCAATTTCTTATTTATATTTTTGTGTACCTTGTGAGTGTACCTACAGAATGATGTGAATACTGTGGTTTCTTTTTAAGTTTTATAATAATGTACTCCTACAGCATCATTATCATTGAAATTTTCACCCCCTTATCTAGATTCAAAACCCCAAAGTGGATGAAAAATGACTTATATAAATTAAAATCTACACAGTCAGTATAGGTAGTTGGCAATATTCAGAGCGCTTTATTGAAATGATGTTTTAAATGTGTTTTTGTGGTTTTTAATTGTCTGCCTTAGTGTCCTTTTATAGGGAAATCCTCGGAGTGCATAAGTGCGTTTTTATCTCCTGAAAATCTTAGGTAATTACGTGTCAATTACCAGAAAACATTTGCTGTTAAAACCAATATTTTTATGCAAATCGAATAAGGAATTTAAGGAATGTTTATTTGTTTATCTTATGTTTGAGGACCGATTTTTTTGTTATTTGTGGGTCGGTGGGAATTCCTCCAATAAATTATGACTGGGTTTACTCCTGAACATATTTCATGTGATTTGATTACTGATGTTTTTTGAAACAGGCGTCAAATATCTGTTTTAATGATAAAATCGTATAACCACTTTGAACTAAAACTTTAAATTACTGATTAACAATGCCTCTAACTTTTAAGTGTTGCAAAAAAATCTCAAAACAATTGGGTTTGCATTAGGTGTACCAACATTTTTCACAAAAGCTGTCGTTTCTAGAGGAGCCAGAGGAGTTGAATTTTGTTAAAGATAATTTCATAATTTGCTCTAAAGAATGCTCCGATCTGGCAGATGAGGTGGATCCTGTTATGTCAATTCTCCGACAAACAATTGAACAACTCAATGTTGAGATTGATGATCAGAATAAGCACATAGAAAAGATGAAAGCGGAGAAAAATGCTCTAGTTAGTGAGTTCGAGTCTATTGAAAATCAGCTCGTAGAAGAAATTGATAGCCTCAAAAGAAAGGTCAGTGACAATCGTAAACCAGTTGCTGATGCTATGGTTACTTACTCTGTTGCGCAGACCCAGACAGAACGTATTGAACAGGTAAGGGCAAAGAACATCAGTTGTCAAACTTGCAAGGTCTTGCATGGTAGAGCAAAATCTTTAGAGCAGGAGCTACATCATTCCATAGCTGAACTTAATGAACTGAAAAAGATTAATAATGAAATGCTCACTACCATCGAAACTCTTGGGATTGATAATGAGTTTTTATCAAAGGAGATCGAGAGCCTGAAAAATTCTGCCTGTCTTGCATTGTCCATGGAGACTCCACCTACACCGGAAATCCAGATTGAGTCTTCCAAACAGGAATCGTTTAACTCTAGTTCCCTACTTCAGGAGCTTGCTGCCTGTAACTTCGAGAACTTTCCCATGATCCATCAACCACCAAAATTATGCATCAGCAATTCAATTGAAAAACCGGTCAATTATTGTACTATTAATAATAATATTAAAAGATTATTAATTTTGGGCGATCAAAATGGCTATGGTTTGGGTTCATTAATTCAAAGCTCTAATGAAGAACTGACTGTCCAATCAATTATAAAGCCCAATGCAATGTTTGTGGATGTTATTGAAGACATGGCTAATTTATCAAAAGATTTCACTCTTGAAGACTTTGTACTGGTTTTAGCTGGTTATAATGACCTAAAGAATAAAAAATATCCCGTCATTTAAGTCAATAAATAGCATATTTAAAAAATTGGGTCATACTAACCTTATAGTTTTATCTGTACCTTATAAGAATAATTGTGATTTCACTGTGAATAGAGCTATTTTTAGGTTTAATAATAAGTTGTGTCTGTATTGTATACCTTATTAAGAAGGAAGGAACTATGCAAGCACGTTTCAAGTATTTTAGTTTCAAGCTGCCCTAACAAAAACCTAACTTTTGTGAAATTGTGCGATATGAATGAAAGTGTTCAGTTATTCAATAATAATGCCAATACAGATATCCCTTTGAATACCTCCGCTGAATCGGTTGCTGCAGTGGAAATTCCTGAACCAATAAATATTGACAACACTGACAACTGTTCGGAAAAGCTAGACCATTCAAATTCAAATTTTTTAGAGCTGCCGCCTGTAGCAATAGATCCGTAACGTCAAACAATAACACCCATATTTCTCTATTTTTACTCAACATTCAGTCGTTGAGACATAAGATTGATGAGTTGGATATACTTTCGGATAAGTTTGGATACCCTCAACTAGTTTTAATCACTGAACATTGGTTGAGGGAACATGAATTGGTTTATATTCAAAATTATGCAGTTGTTTTAGTTTTCTGTAGGACCACATCAATTCATGGTGGTTCTTTAATTTTGGCACATAAAGATCTTCTCTAAATAGACTCACTACAGTCCATAGATAATTTCAATGCCCTACGCTTGGAGAATGCTTTCGAATTTTCAATAGTCTACTCTAAATGCCAGAATTTGTATATAGTTTGCATATATAGATCACCATTATCCGACGTAAATGATTTTTTTCATGGTTTGGATTCACTGCTTTCTGTATTGTCTGTTTCTGCTTCTGTAATTGTGTCGGGCGATTTTAATATAAATTTTTTGGATGGAAAAAGTGTGTCTACCATAAGATTACATAATCTGTTGCAATCCCATAATTTGCAGATGCATGTAAAATGTCCAACACGAGTCATGCAGTACTCTTCTACATTGATTGATTATGTTTGTTCTAATTTTGATTGTAATAGTGTTGATTGTTCTGTTGTTGAAGCTGGTTTATCAGATCATAATGCAGTAATATGTAATTTCTTAAAGTGTACAGTGCAGTCTGCACTTAGATATAGGTATGGTAGGGTTTTTAGCAGAAATAATTATGATAGGTTTTACCAATTGAGTGCTATTGCTTCGTGGGATACTGTTCTTAGCTCTCAGGATCCTATTCAAACCTATTATGAAATATTGTTAAGAGTATTTAATAGATCCTTTCCCTTTCAAAAAATTAGGAAAAAAAATAAGAGACCGTGGTTTACGGAAGGCCTAAAAACATCGTCAGCGAACCTACGCTCTTTGCATATGATAAGGAAGTATACTGAAAACCAGAATTTTCATAGTTACTTCAATAGATATCGAGCACTTTACAGAAAACTATTGAAGGAAGCAAAAAATGCCTATTATTCTGATCGTATGCGCAGAGCGCCAAATAAGCAAAAGGAAAGCTGGTTGGTAGTAAATGACATTCGCCAAAGTAATAAATTTCGTCAAACTGTCTGTGAATCTGAATTATCCCCAGACGCAATTAATACTTTCTATTGCACGATAGCCAAAAAACTCACGGAGGATATTGTTCCATCTAGGGATCCCCTTGATTATCTTGCGCAGGCATCAGTGCAAAATTCTTTCTTTTTTCTGCCCACTAACAGTTTTGAACTAAGGGAAGCGATTTCCTGTATTAAGAATAAAAACTGGGCAGGGGAGGACGGGCTTTCTGTCAAAATATTTTCTCATCTGCCAAATAATGTGCTGGAAATTCTAGCTTGGGCAATTAATGCTTCTTGGGAGTCCGGAACTTTTTCGTCTTGTTTGAAATTCGCTAAAGTGATTCCTCTTCATGAAGGAGGTGACTTAGAGGAACCCTCAAATTATCGCCCTATTTCTTTGTTGTCCACCCTATCAAAAATTATTGAGAAATTAGTGAAAACCAGAGTGACATCATTTATAGCTGGAAATAATATTTTAAGTAGTGAGCAGTTTGGCTTTCAGGAAAAACGAAGCACTGAGGATGCAATGTTTAGGGTGTTGAAGGAGTTGTATTCTCGGCTCTATGGGGGTGGGGTGGCCGCGGCAGTGTTTTGTGACTTGTCTAAGGCTTTTGACTGTGTCAGTCACGAAATTCTGCTGCGTAAGCTCTATCACTATGGGTTTAGAGGTGTGGCAATCTCGTGGTTGGAGTCTTATTTGACTGGTCGCCAAAAGAGAGTTTTTATGGGGTCTAGATCTTCGATGAGTCGGGGTATTGACTGGGGGGTGCCTCAGGGTTCTGTTTTGGGTCCTCTTCTATTCCTGTTATTCATCAACGATCTGGCAAGCCTGAAAATTGATGGCAAATTTACCCTTTTCGCGGATGACACAACTGTCTTATGGCACGGTCACGATTCAGCTTCTTTAAAGAGGTCTATTTCTGGTGACCTCGAGAAAATTAAAGTTTGGTGTGACTCCAACCTTTTGGTTCTGAACTTTGACAAAACAAATATTGTTAGCTTTAAGTGTGACTTGGAGGACTTGCTTATTGGGGATACTATTATTAAAAGTCGCCCTGATACCAAGTTTCTTGGACTTGTTATTGACAGGGAACTAAGGTTTGAGTCGCATATTGTTGGTCTGGGCAGAAAAATAGCATCAGGGTGCTATGCAGTTAGAGTTACCGTTAATGAACTGGGCCCCTCAATGGGACGAACCATCTATTATGCACTTATTGAGTCACG